CGCGATATTCCTTGAGCCAAGTACTTTCTATTTGATGAAGCTTCCCTTCTTTCTTTTCCCTTCTACCTAAATCTTTTCCGTAGCCGCTTCGGAGGGCGTGGTGAGATGTCACGATTTCAGCCGGCGTGCATTCTGTTTAAATGCCGCATAAGCCCGATGAAAATACGGTTAACGCGCGAGTCCATTCCGCCATGAGGTTGCTTGGCCTTTCATCAGACCCGACCCTAACTATTTTATCCTTTAGGTCATGTAAAGCTGCAGGTTTTCTTCCCATTAAATACAATGTTTCAATGTAGCGCAAGTTGCACTTGTACATACCGTTTGCTTTTCATATCCCGTGTCCCAGTAAGTTGAGTTAACTCATGTGATATAGGTGGCGCAATACATCATCCAATCGCAGTTTGGTTCCGACCAAGGTTGTATCGGACATGACCCAATACAAATACACGTTGCCCTACACGAAGATACATGAATCGAGTAAACGTTGCACTGGCATCCCAACCGGCTCTAGTGTGCGGCCAACTTCAGATGATGGCCTATCAATGATGTGTCGCGGCTGAGTCCCAAGTAGGGTCCGCATGTGTGTTTGGATTCTTGATGATCTGCTAAACCAATATGAGATCAGCTTGCGGACGACACTACTGTCCATTGAAAATGCCCGGCATCTTTGGTCTAAACTGGCAAGGGAGGCAGAACCAGGTCGTAACCTTTTATCGTCCACCGATGTGGGTTCTTAAGTGCAGTTAGGTCATGCTTCACCAAGAGTGCCACACCTGGGTGGCGTATTCTACACGTTATCCGGGAGTTGGGCGTTTAAAATAAACGGTAGGATCAAGTCTACCAAACTCCCTGCGCAGCAGGCGCAAGTGTTGGTTAACATTATCCATTATTTGCTTGGCCTGTCTTGAGCATCCGAGATCTTCCTGCACGGAAAACCCAAGATCATTTTTAGGAGAACTGATCTGTTACACGTGTTCTGCTAGTCTATATTCTTTTGCGCTGTGGTGACGTATGCTTAGTAGTTTACACTTGACAGGATTAAGCTCAAGCATATTCTTAGCTGATCACGCGGAAACCCTGTAGGGTCCACTTGCAGTGCTGTGTAGTCGTCTCCTCACTTGATCGCCCGCCAACTATTCTGATACTTAGCAAAACGTAGGAAGTATAAGGTTAGCATTCCAGCAAGGTCGTTTATGGACAAAAGTTGTAGACATGGCCGTAATGTGTGCTGCTACGTTTCATCTCTACTGAGTCAGACAGGACACTAAGAACTTGCAGATTCACCTCACTGGACTGTTGAACGTATGGCTTTGCCAAAATTTCATCTCGTTTAATCAGAACACCGAATCCACCGCAACGAAACCTCACCATAACTCTCCACGCCGTATATTCTTCGTGTTTGGACTCATCAGGCAGAGATAGCCTGAGCTGGGAGTAAAACTCGGCGAATCATGATTCGCGGCTATGGCCATGATCAGTATGCCATCGAACTCCGTGGTTAGAATTTGAATGTTAGGTTTAAAATTACCAGCAATGTGTTTTACAACGAGACAAACAATATCAATTGTGACCTCGGTGGACGCTGAAGTCAGCCTCTGCGAGTAGGATCACTGGGACCGCCACCGAAGTGGAGGATTTTGGTCTTGTTCTCCCCGTCTCAGCACTCAACGACGCATTTCGTCCCGGTTTGTACCCAAATGGTATAAGGAGCATGAACCTTGGAGGGAACTCGGCACACAGCAGGTGGCGGCCATCGCCATGCTCACCAGACTAATTAGCTCCGCAAGCAAAACTTGACACAGCGGTTCGCATTTGACTGTCGCGTTGCTGAGCGCCCTCCGTTTGTTTGGAAATGTGACGTAATCTCATCTGCGGCCTAGATTGACTTTGCAGTCTGCGTCTGCCAATACGATCACTGGGACCGTCACGGAAGTGGTGGGTTTACGGCGTTGCGCACTTCCGTTCCTGCACTCCGCGACCGATAATTTCTTGCATCTTGGGACTCCTTAGATAGTGATGGCCGAGCTGGGAGTGAAACTTGTCACATCGTGGTTAACGTCCATGATCATAATCACTAGGTCATTTAACGTCGCGAGGAACACTTGAGACAGCAGTTGCGAAGTTGATTTTCGGGTTTTGTAGTAGCCCTTGTGTGTCTTGAATTGCCACTTGCAAACTCACTTGTGGCCCTGGTTGCTTTTGAAGTCATCCTGTCCCAATACCAGCAATGGGACCGTCACCGAAGTGGAAAGTTTCGGTGTTACTCTCTCTAATCCATGCACTCCACGACGCTCTGCGTTCTTGTTCAAACTCATCAATCTGCTCATCCATCAACCGCACATCCAAACGAGCGATAGATCCCCGTTTTGACCTTCTAAAACTTACCATCGAGGTAACTTGCATCCCAATCTCACTGAGCTTGCACACACAACATGCATGCTACTGGGCCAGTATAGACGCTGAGGGTTATGTAAGCGAGTTATTCGCTGCAATATAACTTGTCCCACCAATCACTACTGCTATATGCGGATGGCCGGTTTGACCCTCAAATGCTCGACCACCTACACTAATCCACCAGCTACCATGCGACCTTGCAAGATGCTAAGCATGTATCGATCTTGTGGAAACGGTACCTAGCACGGTTCATGCGTAACAATTTGACAGCCGCGCTGGGTACTCCATTCAAGTTCGTTTCACTCACAACTTTGGTGAGGATGATTCGGGGTGCGATTCTCTTTTTGAGGGATTACTGAGTGTCCGTTGGAGTTAACGAGAACATTGCCATCGTACGACGTCTGAACTCTCTAATATGGTTTACTTCTGAATCCATGAAATAATGTTAAACATGATCCCTCGACGAGTGTCCAAAATCATCAACTGAACATTTTCCGTTAAAAGTAATCTTTAATGATTCTGGACGATAGTGCTTCTTCTTGGCAGTGAGCATTTGCTGGGCGCTTACTAGGTCGAACTAGCTTTTTTAGATGAATATGAATGTGGACTCTCAGTCGACTACCTTTGCCGTAGTTTCGGCTTTGTTTAGAATGTGGCTGCTTCTGAAAGTTATCATTTTATTGGCTTTCCAGAATACAGTTTAATTCGAATGTACACAGATTATAACTATACATTTCTGCCCCTCCATCATGAACTAATCCAGACGGAGACTTAGTGTCGATCGTTCTTGCTACATGTGTAATAAGTGACCAATTGCAATTTGACGGTTCTGCATTTACGGAGTTCACAAATTATCAACACCTAGAGGATCGTTTGTTACGAACTCACTTGTACCTTGAGGTGGGAAACGCTTACTCTTTTCTGGCCCCTCAGCCATGTTGTACCTATTATGACGTTGTCAACCTCATAGTTGGTCTGAAACAGCCAGGGCTTGCAACTGCATTAATCCCGTGACATGATGAAGGGCACTGAAGATTCCACACCGCTGCATCCAGATACGGCTGATGCATTTTGGCATTAAGATGTGCTCAAACCAACAGGATGGCAATGCACCTAAGGTTTTCAAATGCTACACAGTTCTGAAAGTTAAGATTGCGCTGTCACTGCACCCAGTCGGTTCAAAGACATCACCGGCCCTACTGCTGTTTGGTTTGAATCGATGAGATGGAACGAAGGCTGCCCACAATGCACGGACTGATTAGGTGGCCTCCAGTCGGTTTAAGTCTCCACAAAACCTTCCGATTGCGTTTGTCAAGAATTTCACGAGTCCCTATTGATATGCACATCATCCTACTTGAGTTCACCTAACGAACACGACCAGGTATCACCCAATGTCATCGTTGTTCACCTAATGGATCCGGTGGATACAAAGCACACACCGTTTGCATGTGCATTGACATCTTCTAACGATATTTCGAGTTGGCGTATGTGGAAATATTAACAGCCATAGACTAGGATTTATTTCACTTGGAACAACTTTTCCATACAGACCGGTTACCGACACAGCTCTAATTTCACGAACAGATAGTGCATGTGGGTGTGAAACCAGTGTGGTGATGCTGGGCTGCATGAGTTTGGTAGTCAGCCGGGTCGCTTTGTTTTGGATCCATGCGTAGCGTTGTTACTCGGCTAAATCAAATGTGACCGTTTTCTCAGGTCGCCATGCATAAGTATGCAAACGATGCATCCGCTGCGTTGGTGCACATACAAGGCAGTATAATCTGGCGTCGGGGGTTGATATACCGACCTGCTGGCTCTCCTCCTCATGTACACCAAGGCATGATTTGTGTTTCTTTCACGAACAACCTATTTCGCTGTTCAGCACTCGTTCTTCTTGAGTTCTTATGTGCTTCCTTGATGGACGACTGTGGAAATGGAGAAGGTATTTCCAATTTCATTGGTAACTTTTATTGTACTACCAACGCTAATCAAGGAAGTTGAAGATAATGCCCTATAACGCTTGGATTCTAGTCGTTTAAGTGAGCTACAATGTGAGGAAAGACACATCGGAGATGTATCTGATTATTCATATGCATTGTCTTTTCTAACCCACACCTCACAAGACCGCTGAGTTTGTGTTAGCGATTGCGTCCACTTTATACATGCAGGTTGCTACAGACACCCAGCATTACAGAATCTGCATGCAAATGTTCTTTGGAAGGGAAACAACACCTGCTCTCATGCGCCGTTATCCATGACTGTAACTGATGCGAACAACAATCTGCTAGTAAATGAGACCAACTGTAGTAACATGAGAGACCAACAGCTTCGAGCTTCTTGGGCCTGATTGTAGCAGCATACCACTGAGAGTGCTAGGAACCTATAATGGTAACCTTTTACAACAGACCCTAATGCAGCATTGGATTACAGTAAGTACCGTTTGTGCCATATACAAACTTGTAGACTACTTTAACCTTAAGGGAACATTGAAGAGACATGTTCGGATATCTTCGAAATGTTGCTAAAAGATACCCGCAGAATTTTACTCAGGCCATCGTACCTAGTACTCTGAAACCCACCAAGTGTTGTAGAAGGTACAAACTTACTTCGAAGGTGAATGCGTCTTTGATTTCCATAATACCATAACCAGCTCGTTTGTCCAAAAAGAACGTCCCAAAATAGTACGAACCGTCATTCCACAGGTTTAGGCCGAATCCATGTCTCTTGTCCTGGAAGAACGTGCCCTCATACGTCTAAAATGGATTCAGATGACAGGGAGAAGAGGCAGTGATTGTTCTTATTATGGATTTGCATATGGGCGCATGCAGTCAATTCTGCTGAACGGAATGGGCTAGATGCGGTCAATCAATCTAGCAATGCATGAGCCCTGTTTGTCTAGTTTAGGCTACCAAAGTTAAATGGTTTGAGTTTCTGTGCGAAAGTTGATGAACTAATGAAGAGATATTTAACACTGTGCTGTTTTATTTTTACGCCTTAACTCAGCCTCCCATGTAAACATAATTTGTTCAAATATACCTCCTTCTGTACGCTCTTTAATCAGTGATCAAGAACGGCAGTTGTCTAGTGGTATGATTGCATGATTTATCTACCTGATGCCCTCAAACTAACTAATGTTTTTAAATGTTTCTTCCATGATCTTGTTCTTGAAATTCATTCTGCAATGCTAATGCTCTCTTCTGTTTTTTTTCCGGAGGCAGTAGCTCAGTATGATCCACTGATCCGACTTACACTATTGTGAAATGCGCCGTTAACCTATTCTGACTACTGCAATTCTTATTTTATATCTCATCATATTTTACATTATTATTATGTTATTTTTGGCCACCGTTTAACTGATAACGTGACGGGAAAATGAAGCTACTAAGCTAATAAGCTTATGTATGCAATTCGCATTGCCATCGACTCATTGCTTTACCAGAACGTGCCAATCTAAAAAAACCGAATGGCTGGAGACCCGAAAAAAGGCGAATTGACTGCACTTAACTGTCTACCCCAGTAGAACCAATGATCACTTAACAGTCAAATGAGTCCAAGGTGGACATTTAAACTGATTAATCATAAGCCTTACACAAAGGGTTGGCAACCTCGTAGGTGCTGGTCAGTTCTCTGTGCAAGGACTACTTCGTGCTAGTGATGGACTCCTGAAAGAATTTGGGTAACTGTGAAATTAATTCCACCTTGGATTAGTTGCTTGATGGATCGCATATTAATACCACGGTTCCCTGTGCTGATCCTTGCCTGTTGTTCACTATTGTGTCGCTTCATCATGCTCCGTACTTCCAGCGGTTAACCACTGCTAGTCCGAAAGACTAATAAAGCAATCTAGAGGCAGGTGTCGATTAATCTCTTGCTGGATTGAATATAGCACCGATTGTCATTTTCTGGCGGAATCCCGTTGAGCCGTTGCTGATCCGTCATTATTATTCAACTGCGTTGTGTCACCATTGACCCCTTCGCCCCAGGACCGCAAAACGAAGTCCAAAGAAGAGCCAGAAAGAGACTTGCGTACATGAAATCACAGTTCCTTTGATAGTTTTGAAGGCAAAATGAAGGGAAGCTACTAAATTACTGTTGTGCCAACTAACAGACGGAGAAACGGCAAATGCAACGGACGAATAATCAACCGTGTACTCAAGAGCGAATCGCATAGGTCCTTAAAATAGTATCATGGGAGTACAAGGGTAAAACTAACATCCATTTACAATGACGGGCACTGGCCAATCAGAATAACGAAATGAAGCGTGTAAACAAACGTCTCGAAACAAACGAGAATAAGAAATGCAGACCCAAAGATTAAAAACTAGTACAATAACCGTGTGACCGCTAAATATTCTTTTAACATAACCAAGTAGAACAATGATGAGTAGCAAAACCAATTGAATGTATTCTTGCAATTGGCACTGCTGAAAAGGACATGACGATGAGCGTCCACTAACAATGACGTGTGTGTACCAATCGGATTAACCCAGTAGCGCGTTTAAACAACAGTCAAGAAGTAGAAGATAAGAAGAGCAAAGAATAGCTATTAAGCTGATTCACAAAAGATGAATATCTATTAGCTGTTCTCCTAATAATCTCCTCGGGTTCATCACTAACCTTTACACCATCTGTTTGTCCTTGAAAGTAAAACTTGCTAATTCACGTGCATAGAGGATAATCTCTTAACAATTCCGTCGAAAGCGTAAGCTCGATGTCATAGTTTGTGGCGAACTTACAGGACTAATAAACAGTTTTGCGTGAAGGAATTTTAGCGACGACGGGGTAGGGAAGAAGACGGGGTTGCCTATGTAGCGGAATGTACAGACAACTAATTGCCCTACCTCGGCCAGTAAATGAGAGCTATCAAACTAGAAAGCAGAAGTTTATTTAAGTGTACCGAGTATGTACAGAGATAGATACAGAGATTACAAAAAAGAAAAGGATAACAATGTCGCTTTTCTGTCCTTTACACGCCGTTTTGACATTTTCGCCTCAATTTAATGATTATGGTATTGATCAGTAGAACCAATCCATGAATTCACACAAATAATATATTTAACCCTATTTGGCCTAAGGTCTTCAAGACTTCGAGATCGCAAGGTGTTTCATCCTTTGTTCCCCAACAGGTTGGACGTACGGGACAGACAGCAGCCAAAATGGAAGTCAACGCTTTGACGTTTCGTCACCACGTGGAAGGTGGACCACCGCGCGATTTGTCCCAGTGCAGCCCCGCGCGAAAGAATAGGATGTGCAGCGGGGGTGGCTCGCAGAGCATGCGTAGGAGGTGACTCAGCAATCTTAGTTGGCAAAGCGATACTAGTTTATGGAGACGACAGCCCGTAGTACCGTTTATTTTGGTAGCCAATGTAGAGTGTATCTAAGCTACGGCTAAAGGGGCACAGATACGCCAGGCTAGCTAGGGGATCCTATCCAAACCGACAGCGTCGCAAAAGAAGGCCTGCGTAATTTGAATTCGAAATCGGCGCTAATGTTTGCTGAGCAATTCAAATCTTCCCCTGCAGGGAACCTAAGATGCTCTGGTTGCATGGTAAAACTATAGATGTTGCAAAATTTTACCACTAACCTTATGCGAACAACAGAGTCACTCGGCTAGTACAAGACGGCACAACGAGTAAACACGTCCAATTTTTTGGTCAAATTTGTACTTTGTAGGTGGGGAAATCATTGAAGGTGTTTAATCGTATATGTTTTGCTACAGACTGGTGCGTGTCTGCCTCGGTCATGTGCGTTCTTCTCTCGCAATTACCGGGATTTACGCCAATACGTCTCACTGCACATGCGATCGGCTACAACAATTCGAATCGGCTGGACGAACGCTACGCAACACATTTCATATTCTTGATCTAGTCTAGTTTGATAACCTTATACATTCAAATTGTATTTTTGCACCTTTTGGCCGAAACTTGACCAGTTTTTCACCCCTGAGCCAAACAAGTACCTCTTTTGTCTCAAAAGCAAAGCAATCCTGTGGAAAAGCCAAAAGATCCTAAATCATACCTAATGGCCGACAAGTAAAGAGTAGATCGAATATCTCTCTCAGTTACTTGCCTACCGGCTTTGTCTACTTCGCACTGTCCTTTAAAAGTTCAACAGGGTCGCTCCGCCTGCCGCAACATCCGGTGACGCATTGCGCCGTTCTGTAGAAATGCCGAAATCCGGGTCGGTTTGTTCAGTGTGCAGATGAAGAGTCGCACAGTCATGTACACTAAGATTAAGCCAAAACCAAGCCTTTGCCGCTGAAGCAAGACAAGGATGCACTAACAAGCGCGAACAGGCTTACATAGATAGCGTGCCTTGATCGTTATGAAGAAACTGTACCTCGCATAAACCAAATGAATAGCATCCGTGTTTCAGTTTCCTGTAACACATATGTGAGCACAGAAGCTATGTACTCAGGTTGCCCTAACTGAATCCATCCAAGTTATTCCGACCCTCGACCACGTGACGTGAACTTGTGCAATATCAGGCCAGACTACATGTGGTAATGTGTAGTATGTATGGATATCCCATCTGTCCACAACGTAATTAACTGATCCCGGAAATATGAAAGTTTGATCGGCGAGTTATCCAATAGCAACGCCAAAATCACTTCATAATGAGAGGACATGGTTAAACGTTGGCTCTAGCCCTCCCCAATAGGCCATCCGTCCAGCCCGAAAGGAAACACAGCGCTTCTCTCCTTCTCCATTGCTAGAAGCGTTCGCGGCAAGGGTTGCAAGTCTCGGGTGAAGTCCAAGCCCAGGTCAGCTCGTACTGGTTTGCAGTTCCCAGTCGGTCGTGTACACCGCCTGTTCTGCGGAACGCTTTGCTACCGGTGAACCGGTTTACTTCGATGCCGTCCTGGAATACTTGACGGCTGAAGTCCTGGAGTTAGCTGACACTTCCGCTCGGGATAACAAAATGACCCGCAGCATTCCCCGCAACCTCCCATTAATAATTCGGCAAGATGAAAAGCTAAACAAGTCGTTGGATGGTGTGACCATTCCACACGGAGGTGTGCTGCTCAACACCCAAACCGTTCTGCTCTCCAAGAAGACCGACAAGGTGAAGGTACAAGCAGCGTGTACACTGCCAACAAAGGTTGAGAACGTGGCAACGGCCCTCTTCAGGGCCACATTGTGGCTGAATATTTACTCTTACTAGGTGTATAAAATGCATCGTTGAGTTGTTTACTTAAATAGTCTCACTGTAGCTTATAACTTCGGTCAATTTATCAATGCCACTAATTTTGCAGATGCGCTCGCACCACTTACTTCCATTCCGATTGACGTATACAATTCCTTGGCTTTGTTTTTGTTCTATGCTGTCCCGAAACCACGGAAGCAGGTTTTTCACTTAGATATGTATATTTCTCGAAAGTTTGGCCAACTGTTCTTGACTTAGGAACAGATCAGTATGTACAGAAGTGATCATGCTCTTGCAAGAGTGTAAGTTGACGCTAATATTTAGCCTTTTACATCTTCTATAGACAATTTTGCAATATTTATGCTGGCTATTTGTCCGATGAGAACACGGAGAACAAGGCTTTTAGATCTAAGAATCTTTCAAGTTTGGTGCGGAACGATGAAGGGTTTTCACATGTCCTGCTGGCAGTTGGTAGGCTGTTTCACAAGACGGCGTATCTGATGAGGAACAAGTTGAAACGCATGGTTGTTCTAGCGCAGTAGAGTAAATATTTGTTGCAGAGTCTGTGATGGTTATTGTCTATTATCTACGTTTTCTGATGCAACAA